TATCTGCGGACTACGAGAGAGAGAGTTGTGACTTTGAGACTTGACGACACTGGATCCAGACTCGACATTGGGGTTCAGACATTCAAAGAGGGATTATTTGGGACTTGTACCGAAGACTTGGTGTTGGCAACATTCCCATCTCCCCTCTTCTCCTTCGTCTGCTCCTCCCTCTCTTCGTCTGTGTATGGTTGGGACCTGGCGCACTCTTCTGTGCATGGCGCCAGGCCCTTTCACACCTTGCAATGATGATGATGAACGTTGGGTCTGCACTTCGACATTGATTGGTTGATCATTGGTATTCTAGCATTCCACCGCGCTATCTGATACTGTGTGAAGAAGGTCAGTCCTTGTTCTGTTCTGCACTATTACGGTGTCTAACAGTTTGGTGTCCCTCCTCTTCTTACACGTGTAACGTACCATGAGATGTTGTGTCAGTACCTAGTCTAGTCGGGACTTATATCCAAGTCTCTCGCTGTGTTACAAAATACCATTTTGCATGTATCAGGATGAACATTGCTTGTTGAGATTTCATTCACACTTCATTGTCCATTTTTGTCCTTTTCATCACTTTGCGGATCCTTGGCTCTACGTTCAGTGCCCAATTGGGCATGTAGCAGTTGGTATCGGAGCTGGGCATGTGAATCAGGACAACCTGATCTAACACGCGTGTGGGGAGTAGCTATGTAGTTTTTTGTTGATTAGAACATACTACTTAGCCCCAAAATCGCGATTTTTGACCAAACTGCTGAAAATCGAAATTTATTTCTTTTCTCGGATTTTGTTTTCCCGTTATTCTGTTGTGGAAAATCGCAATAGCGCAACACCTGAAATTTCCATTTGCGTTTTCCTTCTGAAAATTCGAAATTTCGTTGTTGGAAATCCGGAATATCTTTTCTCTCGAAAATTCCGATTACGTGTTTCCCGTTATTTGGAAATCCGGAATATTTTTTTCTTACTCCCGAAATTCGTTTAAAAAAAAAAAAACGGTACGGGAAATCCCTCTGGAGTCACCATTCTTCCAAACTGCGCGTATTCTCATCTGACAATTCCGAATATTCTTGTCCTTTATTTTTCGGAATTCGTTTTTTTATTTCGCAGTTCTAGTATTTTCACTATCTGAAAATCATTGACAGTCTGAAAGTTCAAAAAAAAAAAAAAATCCTCTCATTAGGTTTTTGTACTTCAGGGGGAATTAGGAGGCCTACTGAACTTACAAACGAGTTTTGTCATTTCTCTCTATTTTTTTTTGCAAAGCTCAAACTTTTCTTTTTTTGAGTAGTGGCTCCTTATCTGGGCGATTCATTCCACCCACCCTCCCCACCTATGTTGTTGCCCCTCTCGTCTGACTCTTCTTCTTCACCCGAGTCCGGGTACCCCTACTGCAGCATTGGTAAGTGACACGTCAGCAACTGAGCAGTGCCACGTCAGCAGCTGACCAGTGCCACGTCAGCAGCCGACCAGTGCCACATCAGCAGTGACACGTCAGCAGCCAAGCAGTGCCACGTCAGCAGCCAAGCAGTGCCACATCAGTAGTGACACGTCAGCAGGGGTGCTGCATCAGCAGCTCTCCGGTCTGGTCTATGCTTACGCGCTCACAAACAGCCGCCATGGATCAGAAGCCCGGGGAAACGGCCGCGGACTATCAAACCCGGATGCTGGCTTGGAGTACCGAAGCCAAGCAACGGACGGATGCAGCAGCAGACGCAGAGCAGAAGGCAGAGGAAGCCGAACAGGTACGTCTGTTGGCAATTGAACAGCAGCGCCTGCAAGCTGAGGCAGCAGCAAAGGCTGCCGATGAAGAAAGAAATCAGCGACGTGAGAAGATCTTCAAGGGAGAGCGAGCATTGCTCACAATGGCAGCGGAATGGCGAACCGTGGCTGAGAATGGGAAGATGGAGGAGAGTGAAAGCAAGATCGCTCTCCTCCTCTCCCATATCACGGATCTCCTGGCAACGTGCGTTGCACAACAGGAGGACATTCATAGCCGCGACGCCGAGGTCAAGTGTGTCAACAGCCGTTTACAGCAGCTGGAGCACCGACCCGTCGCCGGCCCCGTTGCCAGCGCCTCCAATACTTCTGATCGCCTCGATGCATTGGAGATTGACGTCGGTGCACTCAAGGACGGCGTGCAGTTACAGCACACCGCCACTCAACAATTGGAGCAGCGGATCTGTGCTGCCACTGCCAGCCCGCATTCGGGACAGCGTGAGTCCACTCCAAAGTTCAATGGTCAGGAGATCTTCTGCGATTCAACAAAGACAGACCCGATTCAGTGGTTCCGCAAGTTTGAACTCATGTTGCAGCTGCATCTCGTCAGCGAATACAAGAACCACGCGTACTTATACTCCCGGTCGGGGGCCGAATGCCAAGCATGGCTGGACAATCTCTTGTCCAAGTACGGGGTGGTCGATGCAGATTTGCACACTAAGATCAACTGGAATGATCTGAAGGCAGCGTGGCATAAGCGGTTCCAAGTAGAGCCGCCGGAGATCAAGGCAATGGACAAGTTGCTGTACTTCTGGCTTGCGCGTTGAGTTTAGTGGGAGCTGTTTGTGAAAGGCGGAGCGAGCGGTGCGGTGTAGGTGCAAGGGGAACGCCARCCCTTTGCAAGTGCGTCGCAGCGTTGTTGTTTCTATGGAAACAGATAAGATTTCATTTAGCCCAGCGTAGGGAGCAAGCGAAGCAGGAGGCGGCGTGTGGAGCAGCGTCTTCAAA